AGATCAGGAAGTGTGGCAACTCGCTAAACCGCTAAAAGAATGAAGAACTTAAATGGAAAATGTTGTTTCTAAGTTTTCTTTGTGGCAGCATCCCATTAAAAACAAAATCTGCATAAATGCATGTTGATGTGTGGAAAGACAGCCAGAGTCTCTTTATGTATTAAGATATAACAATAATAATCTTCTAGTTACTCTAGGGCAGTGGTTCCCCTTTGGGGATCACATCAGGTATCAGATACATATCAGATATTTGCATTATGATTCATAACAGTAGCAAAATTATACAGTTATGACATAGCAATGAAAATAACTTTATGGTTAGGAGGTCACCACAACATGAGTATTAAATATTAAAGGGTTGCAGCGTGCGGAAGGTTGAGAACCATTGCTGTAGGGATGAAAAGAGTTCAGAACCCAGTGAAGGTTTTGTATTTTACTTTGATACGTGTAACTCTCTAAGTTTACTTATATTACCCATGGACTTTAAAAAGTAAAAAGACCAAAGTAGTTAGTAATTAGCAAATCAGCACACAAGAGCATATGTATTTGTGACCCCTTGATAATTAGCATGTTTCATAATTACTGTTTTAAATTGTGGAGTCGTTGAGTATCTAGTGTTTTCAGTTAGCAAGTTTGCCTACTCAGCTATACATACCTCTTGAAAGTGAATTTAGTGTGTGTATTAGAATGAGAACAATACACCCTTTTCAAGGTGTGAGCACCTTCAGAGTTGGGTTTTGATAGAACATTGGAGTTGCACAAAGTGATAAATGTGAATCTAGGTAGAAATTACCTCAGGCCTTCACAGCCTAGGCCTTTTGCATAATCGGAAGAGTATTTTTGTCTTTGCTCATTTATCTGAAATGCCTTTGACAAATATAAATTCACAGCAGTTTGTAGACTTCTCTTGGATAATTAGCAAAATTATGTACTTAGTGTTTTAATCTAAATTGATTTTTCTCAGTAATGCCTGTTATTAATGAAATTTACATCTTTTTATTTTGTTATCATGTGCTATCTTTGTTTAGCTCCCATTCTTCTCTTATTTAGATCTTTATGTGGAAAGTCTCATTGGTATTTCTACTAAATAAGGGCATCTGTTTCCTTTAACCCAGAGAGTAAGTTTGGATCAGTAGACAGCAGATGCTGAGCATTGCGAGAAATGTTACAGGTAACAGGCCAATGTCCATAACTTAGAAAACAATCTTGACCAGAGTCTAAATACATCTGAAAGACATTACCGTCTAATATTATCTGTTTAAAATATAATCTTCTTAAATCCCTGAACAAAGTTGCGTATATCATATGTTTTGTACATGTAAATAGCTTTCATTTGTAAATGATTGTACACACACAAATTATATATACACATTCCACTTAATAATAGGCATGATGGTGAGTGTTGTTTTATCTTTTATTATGAAAACCTTCAAACACAGGAAAAGAAAAAGAAGGCTAAGATGAGCTTTTTGTATACTCAGCATTTCATGGGCAACTCTGCTCCCTGCATGCACATGTGCACGCGTGGACTCAAACACACAGAGACCAGCTTCGGTGCCTTACCATTAAGATTATTTTTCAAGGCTTTCAGGGGGAAAAAGTGGAATACATGGTGAAATCCTTGATTTAGATACCCTATTAAGAAGATAGTAAACCTACTTTGTAAAACTAGCCATTTTACCACTAGAATCCTTGGTTTCTAAGGATTATAAGTGTTAATTCTAAAATTCCTTAGCCAGTCCCTTCCCTTCCCCCACACACACACACAAGCACACATACATAGACACACTGCTGTGTTGTCTTTTCTAGAACCTACCATATTGTTCCTTCTAAATGAAGTCTTTTGTGGATTAACATGTATTTGCTTTCTTATTAAAGCTTTTCTTTTGAAAACTTCTGTCGATCCCCAGGGTTCCAAACCATCTCTTGCTGGTGCTACAATATAATACTGTTTAGTTTTGAAAATATCCATCTTTTTCTAGTCAGATAATTGGGGTGTGTGTTTGTCACCTATAACATAAAGATATACTAACTATGATGGGTATGAAGATGTAAAAGAATACCAGGTGAGGACTGGAGAGATGGCTCAGCAGTTAAGATCACTGCTCTACCAGAGGACCCAGGTTCAATTTCCAGCACCCACATGGCAGGTCACAACTGTCTGTAACTTCATTTCGGGGCATCTGACACCTCAACACCAATGCAAATAAAATAAATTCTTAAAAATAATAATATCAGGTGAATGTCAGTAGTTGTTGTTAGTTATGAGCTCCAAATAAGGGAAGATTTGTGCAATTTAACTTTATATCCTTAGTGTCAACTTTATTTCCCAGGGTGGACCCTAAATATGCATATTGTTGTTTGCCTAGAGAGAAATACTATCAGTATATTCATGTGCATGTCAAATGATCTTTGAAAGACAACCACTGTGGCAGTGTTTTAACCATTTGGCTTCACAGGCATCAACTTAAAACCAAATTTAATTAAAAGTCAATACATATTAAATACCACCTTTGCTTTGTAAGTAAGCAAAATCTTTACACAGGAAAACAAGTATTAAAATGGCTATTACAAGTGTTTTTGTTCATCCTTTGCAGACATAAAACTTACACTCACTAATAAAGTCCACCCACAGTCATCCTTATTTTCCCACTTTGAATCAGTGCTTATAGATCTAAGACTATCCTAGCATTGAGATCTTGCATTCTGTCTGCCCAGTTCTTAATATAATTTGTATATAATCATTTTTGTCACTAGTTATATTAGTAAGTGGGGATTGGGTTGGTAGATTGCTTAACAGGCAAGCATGAGAACCTGAATTCAACCCCCTGTGTCAATATTTTTTAAAGTGGTCCTATAATCCCATGGATGGAAAGGCAGAGAGATAGAAGAGTCGCAGAAACTCCCTGTTGAGCTGGTTTAGCTGATGTCGCAAAGTCCAAGTTGTATGAACAATCCTGCCTTAAAAATGAAGATGGAGAGTGGAAGGACCAAGCCTCTCACCATCATACATGCATGCAAAACTACAAATCCATAAGCTTGCACACACTAAGCACTATTGGTTAATAATGTGCAATTCTTGGATTTTTCAGTAATGTCTTATTTATTGAAATATGTAAAATTAATTTTAGTAATGCCTGGCAATTTAAGAAAAATAATTTTCTTAAAATTATCCTGTTCATTTTTTTTTTCATATATAAGCTTGAGAGTCAACTGTCTGTTTCAGAAGTCATGTGTTGGTATTAAGTTCATTTTTTTGGGTTAGCTTCACAGCCTTAGCTTCAGAACTGAGAACTTTATCAGTTTATACTAATTATACAAAGACCTTATATGTGTGTTAAGGTAGTTGTTTGGGTTTGGGGGTTTGCCTTTGTTACTAATGTAATGTAATTCTTTTTAAGCTTCGAAATCTGAAGGTTTTGCTCTAGTTACTCTTTATTTTTGTTTCATTTTTCATTTGGTTAATAATATAATTCTGAAGGTTATTTATGTGTGCATTTTGACCATGTGTTTCTCTTACCTGACGTATCTCTTGAAGTTCATAGCATTTTCACTAGCTTCTGAGATTTTCAAGTGAACCTCACTTACAAGTAGCAGTTTTACCTTTGAAAAATAATTATGATGTATTCCTCCTGTTTTTTTCAGAAATCTAGTCGCACTATTGTGGTAGGCACCTTTAATCCCAGCACTTGGGAGGCAGAGGCAGGAGGATATGGGTTTGAGACCATCTTGGTCTACAAAGCGAGTTCCAAGATAGCCAGAGCTGTTACACAGAGAAACCCTGTCTTGAGTAACCAAAAAAAAGAAAGAAAGAAAGAAAGAAAGAAAATCGTCTAATTTTGCTTCTAAATTTACTAAATAGGCATACTGTTGACTGTTGACTGGGATTGATGTATTTTATGTGCCTCCTAATGGAAGCGTCTAATAACGGAAGAGTTATCATATTATATGATTTTCTTGCAGCTTCTTAAAAGCTTCTCTTTTTGTTTGCACTGTGCTTTAGACACATTGCCAGGTGTTAGAGATTGACTGTGTAGTGCTCACACTTCTGGAGTGGCTTGTATAGCGGAAGTGTCAGTTACTATGTGAGGTGTAGAAAAGGTTCCTAAGGGAAAATGCCCCTGGAATCCCAGCACTTGAGAGGCAAAGGCCGAGGGATCTCTAGTTCCAGAAGAGCCTAGGCATTACAAGAACCGCAGCAATACAGAGGGTGAACTTCTGGGCTATGGGAGCCTTCCTGACAGAGCTGGGCTGATAATCTAAAGAGAGGATTCAGCAGCTAAGGGTACTTGTTGCTCTTGTAGAGGACCTGAATATTGAATGGAATGAGCCAAACTCTAGGTTTAGACTTGAAACCCATGATTACCTGTTTGCCTCTTTAAATATATAACTCTTAGGATTCCTAGTAAAACTTTACAATAGGAGAAGGCACTGTTACATAACAAGTGACTGAAAAGGAAGGGCAGGTGCTTTTCTTTCACCAATGTCTAATAATCTTAATATTTATCAGGGCTTGAAACATAATTTCATATTTTTAAAATATGCTTATCCCAGGTAAAAAGCTCAGTTGAAAGAAACTTTAGTCAATATTTAATCTTTCTCCCTGGCTTTGCTCAGATTTGTAAATGCCAAATGAAGGCTAAGACTTAATGGTCCCCGGGCTCACACAGCCAGCCCCTGGCAGTGTGGAGACCACCTGTCCTCTGTCTAGTACTCTGCACGCCTTGACCATCTGCATTCACTATACAGAGTCCACTTGGCTCCGGTGATTTGAATCCATGACATTCAGGTTCATGGATTTACATTTCTGGTGCATCTCCTGCATTCTTTACTTTAAAGAATGGAAGGAAAGTTCACCTTTAAAGACTTCATGATGCTGTTTGCATGTTGTGCGACATCGTGTTGCCTGTAATGTGGAATTGTGTGGCATTTTTTGGATAGGAAATTTCTCTTGTGATATTAATTTGTTTTTGTTTTGTTTTCTCTCTTTCTCTTTATAGTCTGCCATTTTCAATTTTCAGAGTCTGTTGACTGTAATCTTGCTGCTTATATGTACGTGTGCTTATATCCGATCCTTGGCACCCAGCCTCCTGGACAGAAATAAAACTGGGTATGTTCCTAATGATATTGGTCAAGTCAGTTCTCACCAGCATCGAATATAAATTACCATGAGCGTCATTAGACAGTTTAATTCTATTTATAACTTAGTTTTGAGTAAGTTTTTGCATTTTCTTCATGCTTTAAAGCTCTAAAATATTTGTAGTACCTTACTAAATTAATGAGTAAACTTGAAAAGTGATCTAGTGTGGCTTGAAATTTCACATACTGAATAAAAGTGGACTCAAGATTCTTCTGACTGAAGGTGAGACATGTTATATATCCATCAATTGTTATGACAGTGCCCTGGTAACTTTGTAGACATGGTTTTCCCCTTTCCACCCCCTTCTCTGAACTCCTATTGTACATATTTTATAGCTTTTTATTCTAATCAGTTATTTAGAATTGTAATATAATGAGTAAGACCCAATAAAATAGGAGTTTGATCTTACAAAGTAGTCACTACTGAAGTTAGAATTGAGCATGTTTACTATTCTAGCGCTGTCAGGAAATTTCTCTTCAAAGGGAAGTTGCATGTGGACATGTCTGCCCCTCTTCTCTTTGGGAGTAGGAATGTATCCATTACATGCTACATTGATCAAGGAGTTCTCAGGGCTACCAACCTTACAGTAGAGGTTGAGTAGTAGTATATTTCTCCTACATTAAAGGTCCCCAAAAGGCTTTCTTGTTTTTACATTTCAAAATAAAAGCTAATAGTGTCAGTTGTGTGTACAATTAGAAACAATTTTACTTGATTATAAATAAAAACTTCTTTTCTGTAGAAGTGATTATTTGATTCTCTTTTCTCACAAGAGATTTGTCATTGTGTTTACCGTGCTTGGGTGGAGTTACCTCACTGTCAGGTGCAATGCATTTTTGATGTCTTGACTATTTATTTACATTTAACTCCATTTTCTACAAACTGATCCAGATGGTCTGGACCAGGGCTGCACTGAAGGACTGCTCCTTAGACAGCATCTTCCTAGTTCCCTAAGCTTACAGCTCTGTCAGCAGAGGCATACACATTCAAGCCATAGAAATTAAGCAACAGATTGTAGTGGTTTTTAGCAACTAACAAAGTTCCTTTAAAAAAATAAAAATAAACAGCAATCTGGATGTTCAGAGGCGTGCCTTAAGAAATTCTCTGAAACAGCTCACTGCTGGATAGGTCTGAACTAAGTCCAGAGTAATAGCTCCTTATTCCTAGACTAGACTTGGGAGACCTGCCTTTTGTGGCCTGGTGATTTCAAACTGTTCAGGGTCCTGAGTTTCCCATGAAGGGACTTGAGATATCTTACTCTGACCCATAGGTGCTGAGAATCAAACACACATGGTTTTGTAAGGGTGACCTCAGTTTTCTATTTGGGTAAAAAAGCCAATTCTGAGTAATGCTTAGATTTCCTGCCCCGTGTTCCTTCAGTGCACATCACTGTGCACAGCCCTGTTACTGTTCTGCAGACTCCTCATAAAGTCCTCTGAGCGTGGATGCTGCTCTGAAAGCCATGAAGTATGGCTGAGTTAAAGCACAGTCTGGCATTGTCGGTAGCTTAGGTTATTTTCGGAATTGTATTTGCCTGTGAGCTTGCTGTTTAAATGTGAGGATTCATTAACCATCTTTCCTTGAAAAAAAGTATATAAATATCCTTGATATTTAAGCTCTTCAGATAAGGAAGATAGTCTTCATATTAGAAATAAATAAGGTTGATTTGTCTTAATTAGTACTCTGTTTATGAACATAATTGTAAGCTTAGATAAACATAGTTACAGGTATGTATATACCTCAAAACAGCTGTACTGTTTTTGATTTATTTTGTTTTTTTTTTCAAATTTTTTTCAAATTTGCTTTTGCCAAAGCTATTGCTTTTTATGTATTCCAAATAAGTGATATGTCTATTTATGTGTGTATATTTAACTCATAATTTCCTTATTCATGGAATTTAAAAGAACATCTTCATCTTAAATGTTATTCCTAGAATATATGTCTTAAATGTCACACTTAATACACTCATGCTTATTTCCACCTAAACTAATAATTTTCATTATATTAAAAATGTAGTCTTACATTTATGTATATTTCCTTGTTAACTAGCACATGTAAGGACTACTCCTAGAGTTATGGATCAATGAAACACAAAGCTATAATTTGTAAGAAATAAATCTTGTAGTATATTACAAAAGCACATCTAAAAGCTATCTTCATGTGTAATTATCTCAAAATTACTACTTAAATTAACATGTAATTTTTTTGCTTTTGATAGTGACAATGAGCTTGAAGTTGAATGAATTAATTCATTGAGTCCTTGTATAAATTTTAGCCACTCTCACATTAACGTGCCCTAATTTTGACCTCTGACACACATATAGTCCAGTTAATAGTAGCTTCTCTCCAGTGCTGGTTCATGGTATTTCCAGCCCAGTTTTCATATATAACTGGTGGCTCCTGACCAGTGAGCACATCTTAAAGTCCAGTATGTAGAATAAGTGTTCTGTGATATTGACAGAAATGAACTGGCTTTTGCAGTAATCAGGAATTGTTTTTGTTCTGTTTTATCCTGTGTAGACTATTGGGAATATTTTGGAAGTGTGCCCGAATTGGTAAGTGTCTAATCTGCATTCATTTCTTCAACTATAAATTATTGGACACTTTATTTATGTTATACGCTTGGCAATCAATTGTCAGTTTTCCAAATATAGGCTTCTCAATCCTCTGTAATTTTGTAAGAACTTACAGAATTCTTCCAGTTTTCATTTTCTGCTATTTAAAACTAGATGTAATGGGGAACTTTGTAATATTTTATTAACAGGGATATGGAAAAATAATAAAACACAGAGCTATGTTCTGTAAGAAATAAGTCTAGAATATTACAAAGACTCATGTAAAAACTATCTTCATGTATCATTTTCTCAAAATTACTGCTTTTAACATAATTTTTAAGACTTTTGCTACACTTTTTAAATATTTGTTTTGTGTAAGGGTGAGGGTACACACGCTACAATGTACGTGTGAAGAGCACAGCTTGTAGTGGTTACTTTGCTCCTCCACACACATGATTCCTGTAGAGGCAAGCCTGAGGGCAGGCACTTTTTCCCACTGAGTCCTCTCACCAGCCCTCATGGATACTGTTTTGATAACTAAGGATGAGCTTCATTCACGTGTAATAACAATAGTAAGGTTACTTGCATTTTAAATACACATCAGGTTGACTTCTTATTTTATCCTCATGTGATACTGTTCACGTAAATTCAGAGTGGTCAGAAAGTAAACGAAATGTAGTGCAAAAGTAATAATTTTTAATAATCAGCTATAGCATCTTTAACATATCTAATTAAAAAATACTTTGTGGTGTTTGTGCTTAGACTACTTAGACTGGAAGTAAAGTTTGTTGTCTTTGGAAATATTTGTAATTAAACATATATGTATATACACATTAATGTCATATTTCAATATTTTATTATCCTTGAATTTCCTTGTAACTACCTTCTTCTGTTAAAGCACAGTTAACTTCATAATTTAAAGAGTATGCCTTTTATTTTTATCAACAGCCCACATGGTCCACACTTAACCCTTGAGTTAGGATTTAATCTGTGAGTTCAAGGCCAGCCTGGGATACAAGAGCTAGTTCTGGGGCAGACTCCAAAGCTACAGAGAAACCCTGTCTCAAAAAAAAAAAAAAAAGAATACTTAGACATTTTTCTAAAGTCCTGGGAGCCAGTGTAACATAACTAAGCACAGTTGAGGTGTAAATTGGACTTCAGAATGTTAAGGCATCATTTGTTAATCATTTCACTAACTTTCAGGAGAAAGTTTTTCCTTCCATTGAACTTTTAGATGATAGGCAAATTCCTAATAGAAATTAGCAGTCTAATGCTAAATTATCCATGTTTCTAAGCCTTCTGGATAGTTGATAAGTACAAAGGATTTCTCAGAATACCTTATTGAAAGCCATCATTCTGATGGAGTGATAGAAGAGAAGCATTATCCCCCTAACTATTAAGTGTGCTTTTATGTGAAATTTTCCTTCCTCTGTGTTCTTCATGATGCCTTATTCTCTCCTATAGAAATAAGCATGAGAATTCATAGGAAATATGGCTCGCTTTAAATTAGCAAAAGAATATGTACAGCCTAGATCAGTGTTCTATTATTCAGGGAATATTTTGGATTCTCTTGCATATGTGTTCAACTTATAGCTCAACCCCATCACTTAAAACTTTTTGAGAGTTTTGTTTTTTTATTGTACTCTTTAGACATGAATTTTATAGATAACATTGTTGTATCTCATAAAATTAAACATGCCTTGAACAATTTTTTTATTATCAAAACTATAGAATCTGAGACATATAGTGAGTACAGGTTTTTGATCTCCCTAAATATACAATGCATAGATGGCCAATCACAATAAAATTTTCCAGTTCAAGATGTCAGTGATGCTAACATTAAAAAGGCCTGGCTTAGATTTATAGATTTGTATAGAGGCTTATCTGCCACTCAGTCATGAATAATGGGTACAAACCCTAAAATAGAAGAAGAAATCTTGAACACTGCAAAAGAACCAAGAAGAGAAACAGACCGTCACCCTCATCGCTAAGTGTAAGTGTAAACCAAACTGCCTAGGAGTCCAGTCACCTGAAAAAGAAAATATATTATAGACCAAAGTATCGCCAAGAACAAGGTAGTTAAAAACCTGAGTAGTATTCTGCAGGGAGAGACAGCAGAGATCTGACACTAAAGAGCTAACTTTCCTTTTCTGTTATATAAAGTTGCTAACTTCCAAAGAAAAGATAAAGGCTTTTAGCTTTATTTTTTTGGTTTTTTTTTTTTTTCTTGGTTTTTCGAGACAGGGTGTCTCTGTGGTTTTGGAGCCTGTCCTGGAACTAGCTCTTGTAGACCAGGCTGGTCTCGAACTCACAGAGATCCGCCTGCCTCTGACTCCCAAGTGCTGGAATTAAAGGCGTGCGCCACCACCGCCCGGCATTGTTTTAAATAGGAGTTAGACCTGTAGACAATTCTATTTAGTAGCCTTTGTGTGCATAATTATGACTAGAACTTAAAGCATCAGACATATAGTATGTGCCTGTCCTGATGAGTCCCTCAATTATGGTCTGTTTTTTCTGTCTAGTTATAACTGCCTTTCCTTTGTGCATGCACAGTTATTTATATGACCCCCCCTCCCCCCAATCTTGAATGGGTCACTTAAAAGTGTTATGAAAATCTGAAAGCATTTGCTTTCTTTTAGCAAACTAGCTATGAAAATTCTGGTGCTGACATACATTTTTTCAAGAGCCTGCTGCTCTCTATTCCTGACACACAGTATATCCACAAAGAGAGGATGCAATTGTAATGGGACTGAGGCAGAAGACAGGTCATCTTATCCTGATACACATCATATGACAGCAACCGTTCCCACTCACTTACACAGAGCTACGGCCTGACAAGAAGCAACCTTCTCGAGTTCAACTAAAGATGCCCAGCTCTACCACATGGCAGTCTCTTTTAAGAAAATGAAAAACATAAAAATGAAAACCATCTGTAAATTATAGCATTCTAAGTCATGAGATGAGAAAGAAAAGAACTTCCTCAAGAATTAATACCGAGCAGATGGAAAACTCAGTTCAGGGGTAATTGCTCCCTTTGGGTGTTTACTGCGACTGTGCTAAGCAGTGGACATACCAGCCCTGAAAAGAATAACAGACTTTATAACATCTACCTAAAGTTTATGGATCAGTGAGGTGTTTTGGGGGGCTTTATTTAGCCCTAATGAATTAACATTGTAAACCAGTGTTATGTTTTTAATTTTTTTTTTTTTAGTTAAATCAATGTTACTCTAAAACCACCTTTTCATTATAGATTCTCCTTTAATAGAAGGCAGTCTATTAAATGTCTGTTTGGGGGCGGGGGCAAAGGCAATTTAAACAAACAAAAACTTTGAGAACACCAAATCTGTGCTTGTTATTTTATTTTACTGTGGTTTAATTTGAGAATTTTGTTGGTTTAGTTCTGTTCAGTTCAGTTTAATTTGGTTCAGTTTAGATTTGAGAATATGGCCTCAATATTTGTGGACTATATTGATTGATGATCTTCCTGGAGGATGGAATTATAGGCAAAACCCTGAATAAATGTATACTGTTTTAATAGATGTAATATTTTAATATATTAGTGTTGACACAGTGAAGAAGCTCTGAACATTGACAGTGACCTTGAGAATTTTACTTAATGGGGATGTCAAGGTTGACATGAGAGCCAGGTAAAGAGTATCTAAGGTGAACTAAGGAGCTTAATATAGGGAAGTGGAATTTCCACGTTGTGGAAGAACCTAAGTAAGGCTAGTCAAAGTCATCTCTTAGGCTCGCAAAGAACTCAGACATACCTCAGCTGTTTCCATGTGACTGCTGCTTTACTTCTTATGCCTGCTACCCTCTGAATTAGTACAGTTTACAGCTACTAAAATCACAGCAACAATGAAAATAAATTGAATTCCCTTGCATGGTCTGTATGCTAGCAATACACTTTTCACAAGCCGACATCAGATCTTAAATCAGGCAAAAGAAAGTGTCTAAATATGGACACTCTTAAATGAATGTGGAATTGACTCATTAAAGAAGTTATTGTGTTTAATACCTACTTTTAACTTAACAAATTATTGAAATACTGAGATTTCAGAAATGTTGTGAGTGAAAATGATGCCCAAAATGTTTTAGACTTCAGAGAATTTCCAAATTTTAGGGATGATCTAGTCAAGTATTCCAAAATCTCCCAAATGGAAATACTTCTCATCCCAAAGATTAGATAAAGAATGTTTGACTGTAAAAGACTTAGTACCATGTGTATCAGAAGTAGTCATTAGCTATGGAGGAGCTTGTGCCTATTTTTTTAATGGGATAATATTGGCTATCTTGCTGGTCTTCTAAATACTATGAGGGTCATGAACTGGTACCATAATACAAAGAAGATATATTGCTGAGTGCTCTGCATTAGAATCCCTAAGGAGAAATTCCTTGTCTTATTTTTTAGGAAGAGACCTGACTATCCTTTTGCTCTGAGTTGCTGGAGAGCATTTCTTTGGCTCTGTACTAAATTCTGCAGGGCACGGCATGGGTACTTTCGGGTACAGGTCTCAGAAATAACTTGGGTTTAGCTGCTAACCATGTCCAGCCTTTTTATATTGAGATGTGACATTGTCGTCTACATAGGTCACTCTTGCAACTACACAGAGTTACGAATAATAATAATAATAATAATAATAATAATAATAATAAAATGTGGTGATGGGCCAGTATTCTGCACTTGCCTGATGATCTAAGTTCAAACGTCAGAATTTATAGACAGTTGGAAAGAAAGCCCGCTCCAAAGTGGTCCTGTTTGTCCTCTAACCTCCACATGTACCCTGTTGCTTGAAAACTTACATGAACAGCACATGATAAGAATGGTTTTGTTTTGGAGTCTTTAAGTTCTTTGCCTTGCGTTGGGCTGCAATTTTAGCACACCTTGTTAATCAGTTTGTATTGAGCTTGTTTTATTTTGCCTCCAGCTCCTTGTTTTCCCATCTCTCAGTAGTAACCTTATCATATCTTTATTAGTCATTCACTCAACCAAGATGAATGTCTTCCTTTTTTCAACAGGTGAACGCAAGAGTCCTTACGTTGCTGTATGCTGTATAGTGATGGCCTTCAGCATCCTCTTCATACAATAGCTTCAAAAACTACCAGCGTGTGATTGCCATCAGACTCTAAACAAAGACTTGCCTCCAGAAAATAATGGGAAGAGTAGTTAACCCTTTTATCTCTGAACAAGAAATGAGATAAATTTCAAGATGCTGTTCTCTATTTTTATGCTAATGGACCAATGAGCTATATAAATAATTAAGATGTAACAGTTTAATACACAGGATGTGATTATAGCAATCAACCTCAGTCTGTTGCTCCAGTATTAACTCTCAGCAAATGTCATTCTGTTGTCTCGGAACTGCTTTTCATAAGGTTCTTGAGGCCATGAAGTAGAACAAACAGTTGGTGGATTCCACAGGCTCCTTTCACTAGGGCTTAAAAATGTTGTCCTCATTGAATGAGACCTTCTAGTGACTGGCCTATTTTTATTGGAAAAAATTGTTCTATTTTTGTTGTTGTTGCTATTCTTATGGATTGCATTCATATTTAAACCATTTTGATTGCTAACCAGAATACCTCTATTCTTGGCAAATTATTACAGGTGTAAAATATTTTAAACAAAACCTTGCATTTCTTTAATATAATATGGTCAAGTGTGGTCAAAGATACAGCTGCCGTTCTCTGAAAAAGAGCATTCTTCGAATGGAAACCAGCAAGTAGAACAGAGTAGACTAATAGTATCACATGCTTTCGTTCTCATTCGTGTCAGCTCTTCCAAATAGAGCACTGGTTGTAGTTATCCCAAATGTGGTTTTTGTTGTGTTTTTTTATGCATCACTCTAAATACAGTTTCTTTTCTGTCAGCTTAAACTGGAATCTGTTTTCTAACTTTGTAGGTGATAAACACATCTCATACCTGCTTAGTCTGGATACTACAGTCTAAGTATCTCTCAGCTTTGACACTGAAGCAAGAATTTGAGCAGTTTGTAATGTAGATATATGCAAAGATTGGGAATGAAGCCTTAGTATAAAAAGGCAGTTGGAAGTGGGAATCCATTGCTATTGTAAAGCTAAGAGGAATTTAATCTACCTGAAAACACATACTACACATAACATTTATTATTTAAGTACTGGTTTAAGTATAAAAGAAACTTTTTCTCAGAAATGAAATTCTATAGAAACAGAGTACTGAACTTGAAGCCTTTTTAAGTAGCATATCACCCTAGCCCAGACAGGCACAAAGCTTGCTAGACCACCAGGTTTTCCAGACTGCCTGATGCTGCATGGATTGCACTTTAGGGTAGCATCAAAGAAGCTTACTTTGTGTTTTCTTGGGATCATTTTTTTCAAAAGGATCTTTGGAATGTCTATAGCTAGTTAAGACCTGTCTGTTTTACTTTGGACAGGAAATCAGATTATGGTAATTACTTAGCTCTGAACTGCATCTTGGGCTTTATATTAGGTCAGAGATTTCTAGGACGTTCCAAAAATAGGACTCCCTCATTGGCATCTTTGTGAACAGTAAGTCATCTTTCAAGGTCTGATTTCTGGGCGGCCATCTGTTGTCCATCTCTGCTACCAACTGAATTTTCCGGAAGTGTTGTCAACATTTTTTCCTAAGTTAGCACACATCTCATAAAAAGGAGAGAATAAAGGATCAGGCCTAAACTGTTTGTTTAATTTAACATTTCAGACAGTGTAGGTGGAAATGAGAGGAACATAATTAATTTGGACTATGTGTGGTAACATAAAACGGTTAACTGTGTGTAGCAGCTTATCTCTATCCCTGCCATTCTTCTCTTTTTAAGTAGGGCTCTCTGGAGTGTAGGATTGATGCAAAGGTATGGGATTTGATTTTAAAAAAAAGAGAGAGATTGCCGTTTTTGATGTGTAAACCCTGACTCGTATTTTCCGAGCCACATGGTGGTGTAGGGGTGTGAAGCCCACAGGATACTCAGCTGTGTTCAGGTGGAATGTGGAGGAGCAGTAAGCATTGCTGGCATCTGGCCTCTACACAGTGGCTGTAATACACAGCTTAAGGAGGGACACAGACCCAGGGGCTAGCAAGCTCCAGATTGGCTCTAGAGTCTTTAATCCATGTCTCAACATTTGTTTTGTATTGGTGTTTGGTTCCTGATGAGTGTCATCTGTGCCATTGACAGAGTAGGGACATGTCTTATTTCCAGGTAGTCCTTCAAGATGGTCAGAAGCCACTTATTTGTCAAATTTGTCATATATTTTTGAAAAGAGTTTAAACTCAGTTCAGTGTCTACCTATGCCATAAACTACCTTATATGTTTCCATTCAAGATATTTCCTACTGGGGTTAGTAAGAATATGTAATTTATAATAAATTCCTTCATCTTCATAATAAAATTATTCTCATCATCGGATAACACATTTTTATGAATTAAGTTTTCCAAGTTTACAAAGTCCAGCAGATCTTTACCACTATTTGTGAAAAAATATTTAGCACTTGTAAATAATTTATATTTCAGGAAACATTGCACAGTTCTTATGGTGTATAACCATTGAAAATAGAAATGAATAGTTTCCCTGTATTCGTCATATAAATGAAAGGTTAATGTATATGAAGTACAATGTGCTAGCACTTGTCATTGAGATAATCCCAAGATTCTAGGAGCAAATGCAGAACCATGATTCATTGAGGGTAGAACTTGTAGAAGAGCATGGAATAAGCTGAGCTTGGCAGTGTTTTGCAAAAGCACAATTGTGTGTTAGGTATATGTCCCTTAGTTTGTCGTGGCACTAACGGAGTGTGGTGTAAACCATGAAGGTGGACAGGTGTTATATTCTGGAGAGTCATGTATTTTACCTACCTCAAAACAACAGATGAGTGTTTTCCCTCCTGCCTCACAAATCCTTCAGGAGGATAATAAAATCTCCCTCAGTTTATGAACAAAAAGGTTGACAGTGGAATACAATAGTAGATTCTCCGGAGATTTCTCTAAACGTTGTGGAAGCAACTAGCCAGTTGTTTTCAGAAACCTGTAAAATCTCATATTCCATCTGCTAAAAGCAGTCCCCGCTGTTAAAGCAAACATCGACACCAAAAGTGCACTGTTTACATTTCCTGGATGCACAGAAAATATTTCCAGTTATCAAGAACTTAAGCTGCACAGAAGCCTTTGGGAAGTTACTCCATCCTTGCAATCTGAAAATTTTTAGGGGCCACTTTTTACTTTTCTGTAATCTAGTAACAAATGTTCTCAAAGTGGTGCTGGCAATCACCCTTGTGACCTTCAGGAAATCATGACTAGTTTCTGAGAAATAACTTCATATTGTTTCTCCTTTGCCCTAAACTAATTCCGAAATAGTCCAAAATGCCATTCCAGTACCTTTTGAATAAAGAGAAAAATAATTCGTGTTTAAAAGTGGAGGTGATCATCCTACTCTGATTAGTTCATATGTCTGCTATGTAATAAAAAAATGAATTGTCAAAAGCCTCTAGTTTTGTCTTATCACATTAAGAAAAAAAGCAATGTAGGGTGGCCATTATGACCAGAGTAGCTTATCTACTTTAATGTGGGGACTTGCCAAGATAGGTTTGGAGGTAATATTTTACTGGTTTGTTTCTTAAGACTACCCACATGACCTCCACTGGAGCTCTGCAAACCGTAAGTATCTGAATAAGTGACTTCTCTGTCACTGTGACCATGATACCAGACAGGAACAACAGGGAAGTTTGTGGGGTATTTGTTTCCCTTCTAGTCTTAGTGGAGTTTTTGTTTGTTTGTTTGTTTGTTTTTTTCACCACCAATGCCTTTTATTTTATTTTTTTATTTTTTAAATTTATTTATTTATTAAGGATTTCTGCCTCGTCCCCACAACCGCTTCCCATTTCCCTCCCCCTCCCCCGATCAAGTCCCCCCCCCCTCATCTGCTCGAAGAGCAATCAGGGTTCCCTGACCTGTGGGAAGCCTAAGGACTGCCCACCTCTATCCAGGTCTCATAAGGTGAGCATTCAAACTGCCTAGGCTCCCACAAAGCCAGTACGTGCAGTAGGATCAAAAACCCACTGCAATTGTTCCTGAATTCTCAGTATTCCTCATTGTCGGCTATGTTCAGCTAGTCCGGATTTATCCCATGCTTTTTCAGACCTAGGCCAGCTGGCCTTGGTGAGATCCCAATAGAACATCCCCATTGTCTTAGTGTGTGGGTGCACCCCTCGTGGTCCTGAGTTCCTTGCTCGTGCTCTGTCTCCTTCTGCTCCTGATTTGGACCTTGAGATTTCTGTCCGGTGCTCCCGTGTGGGTCTCTGTCTCTGTCTCCTTTCATCGCCTGATGAAGGTTAATATTCCTGAGGACATTGAGCCTATAATTCATGTTCCTAGAGAAGCTAAATCCAAAGACAAACACATAGGCATCCTCTGGAGTTTTTTTTTTTTTTAAGAATGTGTGGCAGAGGCTCAAAAACTCAGTGGATCAGTAAGCCAGAGTGAGTCCAGGAGCTACAGACTAGCCCAAGCTCTAACCTTCTAATGTCCCTTTAGAGGCCTACATCTCATTTAAGCAGGTCCTAATTCCAGAAGTTTCTTTTTTATCATCAGTGGGAAAATAGACATCCCCAAAAGCCAAAACTGATTGGCTTGTTTTCAATCTGGTCTTGAATTGCCACAGAGGTAATGAATAGCAGTTGTCAAATACTAACAATTTCAAATATATTCTCAACTGAGGGCCTACAGATAACACATTGTGGCACAAGTAGCTATCAGTTTGAGAGTCCAAAGCCTAGAAACCCAACTCTTCTAATCAGCACTTTATTGAAAAATAAAGTTTGTTCTTTGCTTTAGAAAGCATGGTCTTTCTAAATATGGAAAACAATGTTTGCAAACCTTTGTACACTGATTTTTGGAAAGATGTTCTCCCTAACCAGGGATTAGCAATTTTGGCTTTAATTAGGCTTTAAATTCAAACTATACAGTGAGTATGACAGCGGTATTGTAGTTTCTTGGGATGTTGTTTACCTGCCTTCCTGTGTGCCATTGTGACTTCCAGTTGATCTAAAAACAGTTACTAAATTTCACTTTTCTCTCATAGAACTCAAAATGCCATTGTAATAGACTATTAAACTTAACATATATGGGAAAGAACAATTCAGAGGATTTACATGGATGTCCTTCACCAAAACAAAATTAGAGGTAGAGATATTAAGTAAAGACGTAAGTATTGGAAGTTAGGGTGAGTTATTTACACATACTATACTTTCTGCCGTTCTTAAGAACACATGGGGGCTGTGTGAGAGCCAGATACTACTGTTACTGTTTTATTTGACAAGGGAAGTGGCCTAAAACAGATGTGCGGAGGTTGTTAAGTGCTCAAACCTGGACTTTGTCAGCCTCTTCCAAAATACTTGATAAACTACTCATCCTAGGCTAAATACTGGGAAAGTAGTGTGCAAAGATTAAACTGCTTAAAAGAAATACATGCTTAAGGCATAAAGGATTTCAACAAGGCCAGCACTATAAAAAGATCTCTGTGTAGTATCCAAATACTAAAACTGATCTGCAGACCTGCAATGACATGGAAAGATTGGACCTTGGAAATTAGAAAGTTAGGAAAATTCTGAGCATATATCAGCACTCTTAAGGGATAGTCAAAAATATTTTTCTCCTTTTAATTACTTGGCAGAAATCATTTGTCTACTTTTAACTAAATGTTGCAAGTTAGGCCTTGGAAGATAAAATAATGATGTCTTACTAAGAAAAAACTTATAAAACATAATGTGAAATTAAAGTTGTATACACAGAATAATAAAACTCGGTGAATTTTCTGAAAACGTGGTTTTATGGAAGCATTCAGGTCTTTTAAAGGGTCATTTTTCTTGCCTCTACATAAATCAACACCTGAAGTGTGATATTCTAAACAAATGTTGTCTAAGGGTTTTTCTTCTCCGTATTTCAATTGGGTATCTTCTGAGTAGTCCAATTTAATGTCAGCAGGTAACAAGAGTGATCGAATACTCCTGACATGATCCCTCGATCCCTAAGTTCTGGGGACCTGTCATGGAGGACAGGAATAACAGGGTTCAGGATAATCTTCAGCAGCTCCAGGGAGTGAAAATTGAGGCCTTATTACCAACCTACAAGCTAGAATCCCCTATTTTCCATTCACAGGTAAACTCTTGTGCTTGCTAACTTGAATATGCCAGGTACTACTAAAGTCAAAATAGTCGGTGTAGAAAAAAAATACTGCTCTAGGAACTTAGGTTTTAGTTGAGACCAAAAAGGCATTGGGGTGTGGGGGCAGAAAGCATACACAACCTCTAATAAAGGCCAGAGAGACCTGAAAGAATTTGTGTGGGGTGTTCACAGAAATTCAGTCCAAGAATTTGATAGTAGGCCAAAGACCTCCAGCAGTTAAAGATCGTGGTCTAAGGAACAGTGTATTCAAAGGAAAGACCTTAAGAACTGAAGTAATGGAGAAATGGAAAACTAGTAAAAGAATTCAATGTAGAGATGCAAACAATGGTGTGTCAGAGATTCAAAAAAAAAAAAAAGACTGAATCAAGAACTTCAAGCCATAGAAAAGGCCGACTTGCTCATACAAAAGAGTTTGCCTTTAATAATTATAGGAGCTTTACGGCCTCTGTCTAATATTGGAGCAATAAGTATTTTAAGGATGAACTGAACCTGTTTCCTTTCTTGTTCTGGCCTCATTACCATGGACGTTCTTGGGAAAGAGGCCAGCACCCTTATTCTTAGAGCTGATCCCCTCTGTCCCATGAATTGGCTAAAAAAAGATCAAAGGGCAGGTCGAATCATTGCAGGCTGATGTGTTTCCTCAGCAGATTGGGTTAGTTGGCAGATCTCTGATAGTATGTATGTGCTGCTTTATTATGCTGAGTACGTCACACTGCTGTGCTCCCCGCTAGCCTGACAAGATTCTCACATCTTCTAATATTAAACTCTTGTCTCCCTTGTGCTATCACCAGTCCGAAACTAGATCTCTTTTGGCACTACCTCCCCACACAGGTGTGTGAATTCAGCCTCCTAGTGATTAGGCAATCCGACATGCTGAATTCATATCTATTGTGATATAAGTCTTCTCCTGGAACCCCAGAACTTAAAGAAAAGAAAGAAAGGAAGGAAGGAAGGAAGAAAAAGAAAGAAAGAAAGAAAGAAAGAAAGAGAAAGAGAGAAAGAACATCCTGGCCTCCAAAGGCACACAGAGTTACAGTGGAGGGGCTAGCATGCTGCTGTCATTATTTAAACCAAGAAAAACACTGCAGACAAGATGAAAGGGCTAATAAAAATGTGTACTTGTTCCTGATTCTAAAACTTTAACAGCTGGCTTTTCCCATGCTGAATAATGTTACATAAATAATCCAGCCAGGAAACGGGGGTTATGAAAAAATCTGCGGGATG